TCCTGTCCTGGTCAGCTATGCAGGCTGGTGCGCACGCTCGATCGATGCTGCAACTCGGGCGCGGCGGAGGCAGGCTGCAAACGAGGGGAGAGGCACGCACGCCTCTGGCAGCGGAAACCGCGTCTCGATAGGAACTGGGCCCCCGCCTCTGGGACAGAGCTATCTGCACATAATCACGGCACTAGAGAGGCTGGGAAAGGGGACAGGAATGCATTCAGCTGGCCAGGCAGCCAATGCTGTCAGCCACGCCTCAATCGAACTCGAATGGGCAATACTCATCTTCGGAGCCGATCGGGTCAATGGCGGGGGGAGGCAGGGGCGTGGGAGGGGTAGGTGCCGTGCCCCCGATAGTCTCTCCCTGTACAAACACTACTGGGTTAGCACCTCTAGCCACGACGCCATCTCGTCTTCCAGCCATCCAGGCGGGGCCACACCAGTGTGGCGCTGGGCCACTCCCTCCGAGATGAAGGCGTTCGTGACCGTGCCCCGCATGGGCCACACTGGCGCTGCCACCTGGAGCTTCACTTTCTCCTCGTCGAAGCATCTCTCGATGCGGATGGCCGCCACGTCCAGCTCCAGGTGGGTTCTCGTGATCGGCGGCTCCTCTCCATTGACTGGTATGATTTGTTCCACGTACTTGCCGAGGTCGGCCTTCGCTTTTCCACCTATGTCGCACTCCATCAGACTCTCTAGAAGGCCGACCACGAGGCTCGCCACTGGCGAGCCCACCTCTCGCAGCGCCTCGGCGCCGCTCGGGCGGGCTGCCTCCACCTTCTTGCGGTGCCCGATCATCACCGCCTCGAGCCACTGGACCACGCGGTGCGTCTTGGGGATCGTGAACGCGTCGATCGTCGTGGCCGATGTCAGTCGTTGCTTGAACGCCGTTTGAAGCGTGAGCTTCGTCAGCGTCGCCAGGCACTGCATCAAGTTCTGGTCTTTCGATGTCCATTTCTTCTCGCTGTGGTTGCCGCGCCTGCGCCTCCTGCCGCCTCGGTGTCCTTGACCGCTCTTGCCGCCCTTGCCGCCGCTCTTGCCGCCCTTCTCCTTCAGCGGGTCCACCTCCCCCATGGCGTGGACGCCGTCCTCGTCGCCCTTGCGCGGGTTCTCGGCGGGCGGCGGAGCCAAACCGTCGCTCCCAGAAGTGCTGGAGGCAGGGCAGGAGCCCTTCGGGAGCCACGCGGGCGGCCGAGCCGCCGCCGACGCCGCCGCCGCCGAGCTCGCCATCTCCAGCAGCTGCCGCAACTGCGGGCCGTCGAAAGAGAAGGGGTGTGCTCGCGGCTGTCACCCGCGATGTGGTGCTCTCAAGCACGCGTTCTGCCCTCGAGGGGGCTGGGGCTGGATCCACTCGCGGTAGCCGATGTCCCTGTGGCTGCCGTCGTAGTCGTTCAGCACGTTGTTCTCGAAGCTCTGCCAGCCGTTGATAGCCCGCTCGGAGCCGTTCTCGCTCCTCGGGGGCGTCCTCTGGTCGCCAAGCCGGTGGCGGCAGCAGCTCGCGCCCGAGTGGGCCTCGAGCGCTGTGGGCGGAGCGTGGCTGAGATGTTTTGAGCCGAGATCCTGACGGACATGGGGGAATGTGCGTGCGAATGTGTCTTCGCAGCTCCAGCGCCTCAGAGTAATGAATGTGGCATTCAGGCTGGCCGCTGTATTCTCCCAATGGGCACTCGGTTGCCCCGGAGGGGGTCCAGGTATGTGTGTGTGTGTGTGTCTCGTTAGCTCCGCGATGCATCTGCCCGACATCCATGCTCGAAACAAGCGCCGTCGTGCATGATCAATACTAGCAAAGGCAGTGTCGCAGTTGATGCACTTATTGTCTATGCATACCTGCGAGAGGACGGGAGGAGCGCCGTGGCCCACGAGCGTTGTCGCGTTGATCTGGCGCTTGACCAGCTCGCGGTTCGTCGAAAATCTGGCACGGCATCCCTTGATCCCGCACAACAGGGGGGCGAGCCCCTCATCTTCACTATCGGTCTCCCCCAGCACCTCGTCAGCGGGGAGCTGGTTCTCGAAGTGCTCCGGGGGGGCCAACTCGCATCCCCTGAGTGTCGCGCGCAGGGCTCTGAAGTCGCACTTGCGGAAAACCTCGGAGGCCTCAGAGCTGATGCTGAACAGGGTACCTATCGTACTGGGCTCCCAGACGCCCCTCAGCTCCCTGAAATGCGGATGCCCAAGAATCGTTTGGAGGTCTTCATGAAGCTGGCGAGCCCAGGGGTGAACGTGCGGGGAGGGGTTCAGCTCGCCGTTTCCAAGTATAGTTATATCGGCTACAGCTGCACCCACCAAACGAGCTCTTGACTCGAACATGCATTCCCCGAAGAAGGCGCTGAGGAAGTGGCGGTGATGTTCGGGGTTTGCCATGATAGACTGCAACCATCCGAACCTCCATATCATAAATTCAACCCCTGTGGGTGGGATCTCCCACTCTTCGAACGCGGCCCTGGTGGTCAACGACGTGTGTCTGCCGTCCCCGTGTTCCGTGCGTGCCGCGCCTGCCATCATCGCTCTGAGCTTCTTCGCGAGAGAGGTGTCGAGGGCCCGCACCTCCATGGGGGGCGGGCACATACGCCTCCATACCTGACCAGACACGGCCTGCAACGCTAGCCAAGAACATGCTGCGCTTGCTCCTCCAGGGGCCGGGCGCAGTCCAAGAGTTCCGATGGTTACTCCACCCTATGGAGCCAGCTCTTATCCGTGCCTTGACCTCGTGCTTGTTGCTACCGTTGATATTAATGCACCCGCCCAAGTGTATCACGTTCATCATCGTCCTCCCCGATGCTCTCTCCTCCGCCTCCGTGGTGTCCCTGTGAGTGGCTAGGTGCACTAGTGCATCTTGCTTGTCCACGTGCTGTGCGTACCCGCCCTCAGTCAATTACTTGTCTAGTATCTTATTGTCCTGATAATCGAGGCTCAGGGCCTCCCGTGCAGTCCCACTCGGCACAATGACAATTCTGATCAGGTCGTCTATGAGGCCTCCGAACGCCAGGTCATCCCAGCGGTCGAACAGAGGGCTCTTGCACGCCAGGCTATCTCCCACAACCTGCCCGAGTTCACGCTGCCAGGCACTGACGATCGGGTAGAAGGATTCCATGAACAGCTCGGGTTCGTTCGGATCGCCCATCCTCCCTCCTGTCGTCGGTGTCATCGCCACGTCGCCATCGCTAGCCTCGCAGTAGAGAATGCCCATGCTCCTGTGGTGCGTGAGTAGCTCATCGTAGTGCTCATCCACTCCTCGAGACCTGTGGGCGTCGTGTAGGTGTGCGTGATGTCCTGTGCCGAACGCGTTTCTCATGTCATACGATTTGACCAGATAATAGTTTTTGCAGCGGCGCAATTTCCACAGGACCAGTTTAATGATGATCATGAGCCCCTCCCTCCTCCGAAGAATGATCCCGCCGTGCGCCCAGGGGGGGGCTCATATGGGCTACCGTAATCCACCAGGCCCACACGCAACAATAGCCTCCACCAGTGACAGAAACAGTGCAACAGTCTAAGACACCGTGTGATGTCCATGACCGTGTTGCCCGTAGGTGTCTTGCCTGGCTTGCTTATTGCTATGGCGTGGCTGGTGCGTGCCTGTTGTGGGAGTAGCTGCCTAGCTCGGATATGTGCAAGAAATTGTAGTAGCATATCATATCCCACGCGTGCCTCGACATCATCGACCACCAGCCGGCGGTGTCGGGGTCGGGCTGCCTGGGCCCCGGCCTCGAAGTCCAAGAGGTCGGGGTCGCGTGCTCGCCACGTGGAGCCTAAGCCCTCGCGAGAGAGGCCTGGGCGGAAGAGGTGGGTGGGGAAGAGGAGCAACTTCGTGACCTCCACGGGCAACGACCACGGCGGGGCATAACGGCGGTGATGACAATGTCGTAATCGCTTCTTCAAGCATTCTAAATCCTCAGCTGCCATCTCGAAATCCTCGCTCGTGGGTAGGGGGAGGCCTCTGGGTCCGTAGGGTGGTATCTCATCCCAGGGAGTATTGATCAGATCTTGTATCTTATCTGGGTTCATGTACTTGCCTAGGATAGGGCTGACGGCCGTGAGCCCTCCTTCCACTCCTGGTTGCTGGAAGGCCTCTCGAATGTCAGCGGAGTTGGGACGGCTCATCGGGAGGGCGAGGTAGCACCTTTTACGGGGCCCCGTCCTGGTACCAGCTCGAAGGCGTACAAGTTTACCTACTCTAGCCTGGTCCCGCACCTCCCACGCCTCCCTGATCTCCTGCTCCAGAGACTCCCTCCTCCATTCCTGCCATCGAGCATGCGACTTGATCGCTCTGTCGAGTCGTCGAAGGGGCTCGCTCGTGATCGTGAACCCGAGGTCCCTGAGGGTAGCACGCTCCGCTAACAGCCTACGTCGTTGCGCTTTCGCCTCCTGGAGCCAGTCTGGGGTCGAGTGCTCGGCCGAAAAGAACTCGCGAGCGACCTCTCTGATCGTGTGGGCCACCACGCCCGCATGTCGGGTCGGCTCGCCGTCCGTCGTGAGGACACGACACAAGATCCTCCTCTCCTCCCAGACCTGCCCCATTCGTTGCATGAGCTCCTCCCTCCGATGTCCCATCTGCAACGCCGCCGCCAGAGCCCCCCAGTCCCACTGGATGTTCTGCTGCTGCTGCTGGGGGTTGGGGCGGGCAAGGACATGCACAGGCACATGGGGACGTGGTCGATCATGGGGGGGAGCCTCCCCCGGAGCGACCCCCAGGGCGAGTCACCGTCTGGCATGCCCGCACGCACTGGCCAGGAACTTGTGCTGCGGCTGCGGGCCCCAGCGGTACGCGGCGCCCTTTCGAGCCGGCAGCGCGTCGCGCCGCTCCGCGGGGCGGATGGCCGGGACCACCTCGGGACGCTGACGCTTCGGGACCGGGACTTGGCCAGCGTGTCGCGCGGAAGCGCGCTGGGCCAGGATCGGCGGCGCGACACGCTGAGCAAAAAAGTTCTGGACCGTAAGGCCCGCAGCCACGCCGAGCGCCTCTCACTCGTTGCGGCACGCTGCCGGATCTAAGCGGGGGGGGGAGCCTGATCGAGCTTGTACGGGTGGCTTGCGAAGTGCGTGGGCCCGACCACGATCGTGGTGGGCTCGCCCTGCGGCTGGGTCTCATCAGCTGCACTCCTCCTGCTCCTCGTCCTCCCAGTGGTCGTCCTATGGGTCGCCCGTTGCTCCGCCTCTTTTCTCCTCCTCCTCCCTTTCCTCCTCCTCCTCCTCGTCCTCCTCATCCTCTTCAACATTATGTTCCTCCAAGTCGCCATGCTACAGCAGCAGGTGTGGAAACATCCGCACCTGAGCATCTGGAAACCAATCCTAGCCCCAGTGCGCCAGGGGTCTTCCTTCCGACACGCGTGTCGCCTTGCACCCTCCATCCTCCTCGCATCTCCGCTCCTCATCATCCTGCTCTCTCCCATCCTCCTCCTCCTACTCCTCCTCCTCCTACTCCTCATCTTCCTCTTTCCTTTCCTCCTCCTCCCTCCGTCCCCTAGTCATCATCACTCTTATCATCATCCTCCACTTCCTCCTCCTCCTCCTCCATCTCCTGCTACTCCTCCTCTCTTCTCATCCCTCCCCTTATCATCCACGCGCCTCTTCCCCTCCTCCCCCTCCTAGGCAAAACCTGGCGGCCGACAGAGTCTGTCCACCACCAGCCCAAGTGAAACACGTGGCAAAGGACGCACCTTGCAACCGCCCGTGGCCACGCGTTTCGGACACGACGCCACGCTGGCGTCGAAAGGGACAAAAGGGGGCTCCACTGAGCAGCCGTCGTGCTGAGCCTGCCAGGCCAGGATGCCGAACGACTCAGACCTCCGCGGTGGCACCCACACAGCCGGGAGACCAAGCCCTGTGAACCAGAAGCCACACCGAACGCGAGCGGCTCGGCAGGCCGGGACAGTAAGGGCGCCAGGGGAAAGAGAGAGAGAGAGAGAGCTCCCAGCGCCACGCAGCTGACGCTGAGGCACACGACCTGCTCGCAGCAGCCCGACAGAAACGGGGGAGGGCGGCGTACCCAGACCCCCGACGTCGTGATTCTGTGCACTACGTCGGGTCGATTCTTGACGGTCCTGAGGGCTGGCAAGGGCCCAAAAGCATGGAAGACCTCCCGTCATGACTTTTGTCATTGCCCGAGGGGGTCTGGGCAAGCAGAGAGAAGCAGAAGTAAAGGGGCGCATCCCGCAGCCCGCCGTCCTCGCCGCAGGCAGAGCCGAGGCTCGTGCGGCCAGTCGGCCGGGTCCGCAGGCGGGGGGGGGGGGCAAGTGCAGCCCGTGGGCAGGCCACCACGAGCTGCACGGGCCCACGTGCCGAGAGGGTGCACGCAGGAAGACCACGCAGCGAGCAGGGCAAGGCCCCCGAGGCGTGCCGAAGAGGGATAGAGAGAGAGAGAGAGAGAGAGAGAGAGCTGCTGACCTTAAGTCGGGCGTGTCCCCCCACAGGGGGATTTTCGACGAAAAATAAAAAAGAATCCCAAAAGTACTCCAAAATGGTCAAAACATAATACAAGCAATAGTCCCCGGACGATTTTTTTTGCCTATTTTTGAACATCCCTCCTGTAGAGGGACAGGCCCGACTTATTGCTAACAGATCAGAGCAGACGGAGCGCTGCGAAGGCGGCCTGCGCAGGCGCCAGCACAGCTCGGTCACGACTGGGGGGCGTGGGCCAACGAGGTTGGAGACACGATGGGGCGGCGAAGCACGCACGGCGCGCACAGCCAACGGCAAGACGACCACCGAGGCGTGCAATGATCCTGCGCCCTCGATCCGGCGTCCAACCCGGCCTGAGCAGCAACGCAAGCACAAGACTCACGATGTCGTGGGGTACGGGCCCGCGCACGAGGACTACACTTGAGTGACTGCGGGCTTCCCACGAGGGTGCTTCTCGGGGTGCCCGCAGTCAGCCAGCACGTCCGGGAGACGCCCAGTCCAGGAGCCCAAGCACTTCGAAACCTGACGCCTCACACTTTGGGCTGCAGAGAAACATTGAAGCTGATACTGGAAAATGAAGGGGAACTGGGACACATAGATAAATACACACAAATAACAATGCTCCCCATAGTTTCCCATATTGTCTGGGTTTCTGTCTTCCCCCCCCCCCCAGTTCCCATATTTTCCTATATTTTCTGGGGAATCGACGATCAATTGTATCTGTGTGGTTTTTGTTCCCCTCCTGGGAGAACTCCGCTGCCGCCTCTGGCCGCCTCGTCAGCCTCAGAGTTGCCGCAACGAGGGCGGTCCGTCGTGCGCCCGAGCTGAACATAGACTGGGGCAGAATGCCCGTTTCTGAGCAGGGACCGACCGTTCCGGCATTCCTACAATAGGGGAACAAAAAGTGGCATAAACATAAAAACTCGGAGGTCCGCGCGGATTTCTCGGATCGGCGCTGGACCCCTCTCCCTGGCGCGCGGAGCGCGCCAGGGGCGGCGCTGGAGGCGCCGCCAGGGGCCCCAGCGCCGATCCGAGAAATCCGCGCGGACCTCTGAGTTGTTATGTTTATGTCACTTGTTGTTTCCCTATACAAGCCTACCACGGAATGTTCTTAGAACCCAAACGTGTTCCCATATAAACAAGCACCGCTCTTAGAACATAAGCCCGCCGTGCTGAAACAAGACGGTCTCAGCCAGAACTGTTCTGAGAGCATCTCGTGCAGACTACACAAGATTCTTAGAGCATTCTTTGGTAGGACTATGGGCAATATCCAGGACGCTTCGCCACTGCTCGACTTTTAGCTGGACAATCTGAAAACCACCACCCCTGGCCGTCCACCAACCTCGGGGACTCTCCAGACATGCGCGCGCAGCAACGCAAGCCAGCGCAAACGGCGAATCAGTATACACTCGCACTGGTGGCATAGCAAAGCACAAAACACGAACGACGGCTCGCAACTCAGCAACACTGATGCCTTGCACGGGGTCCAAAGCAAGATCAGACACAGACGAAACAACCCCATTAAAATCCGGAAGAAGCGCAACACATATCCCAATCTGCACTGGCGAGGCTGGGATACCCAGCTTCAAAAACTGAACCGTCGAAGTGAATGCCCTGTAGACTCGGTGCAGTAGAGGCTCAACCACAAGACACCTTCCACAAGCAGCCCAACCCTGAGGCCCCAGGACGTCCATGGATGCTTGGCGTGGAAACGTCACGCGCCCCGTTGCAAAACCACCGAACCCCCCAAAAAACAGGGCACCCCCGAGGCAGGCAGGGTGTTTCTTGGCATGGGCCTCCACTGTAGATGCCTCCTGTGGACTCGTGTGGGCCTCGTGGCCCCCAGACAGCTGGAGGTCCTGGAGGCGGCCGCTCGAGCACGGGGGGAAGGCACCAGACCACGCGCGGTCCCCCGGGCCCCATCCACAATATGGGGCTCGACCACAAGACAGCGTCTAGAGAAACCCAACCCTGGAACCCCAGGACGTCCGTTGATTTTGGGCGTGGGAGCGTCACGCTTCCCGTGGCAACACCACCGGAACCCAAGAAACCCAGGGCACCCTGGAGGCCAGCAGGGTGCTTCTTGGCATGGGCCTCCACTCTCCTCGGACCGCACTTGGGAAGCCTGGGTATGTGGTGCCGACGACGTCGTCAGTGCCGGCAGACTGGCAGTGAGGAGGGGGTTCGACAGCGGCGGACTCGGAAGGCTTCACCTGAGAAGAGCTGCCCCTCTCGCGGGCCCCCGACCTGCAAGGAGGAGTCGTATCCCCCGGGGCCCCCGATACGAGAGGGCAGGAGAAGCACCCTCATATTAGGGACCCCGGCAAGCAAAGCCGTCCGGTAAACGCACCCGAGGCCAGAATCGAAGAGGGCAGAGCAGCTAAGTAAACGCCCGCAGGCCCTATAGTAAACGCTAAGTATATGTGCACGTAGATGTGTATATCCATATATATATATATAAATAAATACTAGAACCATCGCGCGCGCTTCGCGCGCGCTCAGGTTCTAGCCCAGGCTGGGGGCGCGCTAGAAGATCTTGGTCAGCGCTATCAAGCACAGGCGCGTGACATAGTCGTGCCTCCTGAGGGCCTCTTGGGAACCTCTTGGGTCTTCGTGGGGGCATCTGAAGGGCTTCTGGGGGGGTCCCCGTGCTTTCTCAATTGGCTGTTGGAGGCACCTCTTGGGTGCTTCTCGGGGGGCATCTTGGGGCTTCTTGGGGTCCCTTGGGGGCATCGTAATGGTTCTCTGGGCAGTCGGAAAGTGATGTTCTGCAGTCTGAAGCAATCAATTGGCCGTCGTGGCTGCGTGGAGACCCGGCTTGAGGCCACATTGGGGCAATCCGGAAGCCTCCCGGGGCCTCCTTGAAGCAATTTTGGATGCATCCAGAGCACTGTTCGGCTATCTTGGGGCCCCGTGTACGTCTCCTGTGAGCCTTTTGTGGCCTGGTGGAGGGCGTTGGGGGGCACCATGGGACCACTTGGAGACTCTTGGGGACTCCTGTGGGCCTCTTAGGGCGGAAAGCTCTGCTGTTGGGTTCGCGTTCCCCTTCTTGGGGCTCTCTTGGGGCCCTCTTGGGGCCATCTCGGGCCGTCTTGGGCGCCTCGGGCACCGTCTTGGGGCCCTCGTGGGCCGTCTTGGGGCCCTCTTGGAGGTCTCTTCGGCTATCTTGGAGAGCGGCCGTGGGGGCCACTTGGGCCGTCTTGGAGCGTCGGGATGCCAAAAGGCTGGGAACTCTAAAATCCATCAAAAGCCGATGGGATAACAGTGCTTCTTGGAACCTCTTCGGCCTTCTGGGGAGCTTCTTGAGGGCCTCTTGGGTCCCATTTGGGGGCCTTTGGGGCTTCCTGAGAGCCTCTCGGGGTGGAAGGCTCGGATTTTCGGTTCGTCGTACCCCTCTTGGGCCCCCCATGGATGGGGCCGTATCGGTGCCCTCTCGGGCTGTCTTGGGCCTTGTTGGAGGCCGCTTGGGCTATCTTGGATTGGTCTTGGAGGCCTTTTGGGCCGTCTTGTAGCGTCAGGACGCCGGAAGGCTGAAAACTCTAACATCAATCAACAATTCTATGGCAAGACATGGATGTTTGCCTGGGACCTTCGTGGGAGGCCTCTTGGATACTCTTCGGCCCCCTGGGGGGCTTCTTGGGGCCTCTTGGAGCCCGTTAGGGGCGTATCGGGG